GGGCCAGGAGAGACCGCACAAGCGGGATCCTGGGGAGCGCCCAGCCCAGCAGATTCCCTGTTCCAGGCGGCTGCCGGGGCCCCTGCAGGACCGAGTGGCCGATGGGCAGGATTTGCCCCCAGCTCTCTTAGGAACCTGATTGAGTCCATTTGCCACCAGGGGTGGGAGGGCAGACCAATCAAACGGGCCCAGCCTCCCTGCAGAGCGGGTAGAGCTCGGTCTATACGATTAGGATTTATTTTAATTTGGGCATCATATATAGATTCTATGAATAAATAAACCCAAACATCGGATGTGGTATCAGGCCACCAGTTGGATCCTAGTCTAAGAATGGTTTCCAGTTCAAGTTGAAATTTACTTTTAAGGCTCAACGTTAGTTTAGACACTTTCCCAGTGGGGCACAAAAGGGCCCCTGCATTGGGCAGCAGGAACAGCCTTGAGAAACGAGAGGGCAGCAGCCAAAGCGATGCTCAGGGAAAAGAAATTTGGGTTCAAGGCAGGGAGATAATGTGAGAAAGTGTCTCAAAAGATAAGGGGAGGGACGGGACCTAGTCAGGTTTGGAGGATTCTGTTACTGTCACCTTACAGAAAAGTAACGTTTGCATGTGTGACTCTGCTCTACCTTTTTCTGGGACCACGTGCAGCTGCATACCTGCACCCCCCCCCCCCCATGCTGGCCCTACCCAGAAATAAACCCTCCCAGGGCCCTGATGCCTCCAGGCAGGGCATGAAAGTGGCCCCTTCGGGTCAAGGCCAGGGAATGGCTCTGGGCAGCTGCCTCCCCAGGTGGAAGGGAAGGGGCGTCCAGGGTTTGAGAGCTGCGGAGCACCCGGCTTAGAGTCCTGGTGGCCAAAGAGGCTGGACTCCGGCCAGCTCCACCACCAAGGGCTGAGTTTGCCTTCAACCGTGGCCTCGCTCGGTGAGCAGCTGCTGGTGTGTTGCAGGACGTCTCCGGAAATGCAGCTTTCCTGGCCTTCACCCCGTTTGGATTTGTGGTCCTGCAGGGAAACAAGCGAGTTCACTTCATCAAATGGTGAGTTCTGTGTCTGAAACCTGTTCCTCTCGTTACCCAGGAGGGAGGGAGGGAGGGAGGCTCCCCCAAATATAGTGACCTCATCAGCTCCCCCTCCAGCCCCCTCCCCATGTTTGTCTGTGGCCTCTGCCACAGTGGCAGCCTCTCCCATGCGCCCCCCCACCCCAAGACTCCTCCTGCAAGGAGCTTTGGTGCCTGATCTTGCCTGACCGCCCCCCACACACCCCCCCTTCGGCTTGGCCTCACCCTCCAGGGCAGACCTCATTCTTTCCTTGTCTTCTTTTGTGTGTGAAGAAGTAGTTTACAAAATTAAACAGTACAGAAAAATAAAAGAAAGAATATAGGAAAGCGGAAAAAATATAAAAAGAAAGAAAGAAAGAAAGAAAGAAAGAAAGAAAGAAAGAAAGAAAGAAAGAAAGAAGAAAAAAAGAAAGAAGGAAGGAAGGAAGGCTGCCCCACCCGAGGCCGAGGTGCCTTCCATCCCCGCTGCCGGTTTCAGCCCGGGGTCCCCTGCCCTGAGCCACAAATGTTCACCTTCCACCTGCAGCTGCTCTCCTTTTCCCCAAGAAGTTTCCCTTTCACCTTGTGTTTTACGCAGCTTGGTTTAAGATCTCTGCCCTTTGCCAGAGCCTGTTCCGCGCTGTGCCTGGGCCAGCCCTTGTCATGCCACGCAGGAGGGGTTGGGGCAGTTTCCCCTTTCACGGAGGTGCTTTTCTTTGGCTTGCAGGAACGAAGTGGCCAAAATAAAATTTGAAGGCAAGACGTTCTATTTATACGTAAGTCAGAAAGAGGTGAGTGCCTTCCAACGGGATCTGCTTAATGAGACCAAACAAATCCAGTGGTATCTCTGCCGGCCGATCGCCCAAGAGACCTCCAGAAGTGGCCTGGATCCAGGTTAAATTCCGTATCGCCCTATTAAAGCAACCGCCAGGCTGAGAAACTGGGGCATTTCCCAATGGACTAGCAGAGCTTCCTTGGTTCTGGGCTCCATTGAACCCGATCCCCATTCTCCTCTCTGGCTGGAGAAAAAGCTCTCGGGCTTCCAGGCCTCCCCCTGAGCAAACAGCAGGACCCTCCGAATTGCTGGGCCCCTGGAGCAGCCTTCTCATCTGAAGCTGGCCAACTGTGGCCATTGTCTCCTTATAGCTTTCTTTAAGGAGGTTTCTCTTCACGTCGCTTCAGGGCTGACCCAGCCTGGAACGAGGGGGCCAGGGGGGAGGGGGTGTAGAGATAGCTGAGCTTTGCAGCCTAAATTTTAATCCTTTCCCCTGGGAGTCAAGGACCTTGGTGGGGGTGTTCGAAAGGTGGAGACTGAGGTCACCTAGCAACTGGACTACATGCTGACTGGACCGTGTGACTGGTGACTTTGGGGGAAAGTAACAAAGTTTTATTTTTAATTGGGTGTAAATCCAGCAGGAACTTAGAGCCGGTTTTCCATCAAGCCTGGGTCAATTGACTATGGCCCAATAAAATGTTCTTTGCCTGCCTCGGGGTTCTTATTGAAGGGGATGTATTACCTGGACAGAGGGTCAGGGCCCAGGGCCAGGGTTCATGGGACTTGAAGTACGTGGAGGAGGTCTGCCTCCCCAACCCCGTAAGGGGGCCGAGGCCAGAATCTGCACTGGAAAATCTTTGATCTCTGGGGGGGTCTAAAGGGCTGCACTTATTGCCAGGCGGAGGGAATAGCTGATCCTCTTCTCCATCACTTTCCAAGATCAACCCCCCACTCCCCAGATATTTTGCACCTCCCAAAGGCCAGGAAGTGGGGGGAGGCAGAGGGATGGAGTTCGGGGCAGTGCTGGGTGGGGAGATAAATAAATACTGGGGTCTAGGAAAGCCTGCCCAGTTCAGGTACTTAAACGAAGCCTCCTTTCCCAGACTCTGGTTGGGAGCTCTTGGTGTCCAGTAAAGGAAGGCCGTCTGCTTTGTCAGAAAGCCACGGTGGTGGCCACCCGTTTAATAGGCGTTGCAGCACATAACAAACCAGAGTGGGACTTGGATGGCCTGATGTAGGGAATAGGGAAGGTGAAGATAAAGGATGCTATGCAGGATACCCTAATCGGAGCCCCGGGCAAAAGGGACTAAAGCAATTGTGACGTCTAGAATGCCCAGGTAACATTTGGAAATGGCTCAGGCTCCTCCACAACGAGAAGGAGGAACCTCACAGCCAGCGTGGCAGAATTCGGTTCTGAGAGCCCACCTGAATCAATGCAGTTTCGGCCACACTGTGAGCGGAGTAGAGTTGGTTTCCTTTTTGTGGCTACTACAGAAGTGGATCCAAACCATCCGTGTTTTTGTTAGCTTAAATATATTTTGCATGCTTTCTTTCCAACAATATGAAGAGCACCTGTAAATTAACTGCAAGGATTTTTCTGGGATTTTGACAGGAAAAGAAAATTGTTCTGAACTATTTTGCTCCAACTCCTGAAGCCTGCAAGCATCTCTGGAAATGTGGGATTGAAAATCAAGCCTTTTATAAGTGAGTAGAGGACGCATTTTCCAGGATTGCTTTCTGTCCGTGGGAAGGAATTGGAGCAGCTGTTGCCAATCCAGAGCCGCTCAGCCCAAAGTGGCGGCGACCTTTCCTGCAGAAACCGGCCCCAGGATTGGTTTCTCTGCTGCCGCCACCTCTTGCCCTGCAAATGGGCACCTAATCTGGTTGATGATCCCTCTGGCTTCTGCTGGGAATTATTCCCGTCTCCCAGACGAAGCATGGAAGTCTGAGAAATTAAAGCATCTGTAAGAAAGAATTTCTCATGAAGAGCACCTGCTGTCCCATAAGTGTCTTGTGTCCATATCTCAAGTTGTCTCGTCTTTTGTAGCACGTGAATTTCCTTTGGCTCTGTGTGCCGCCTGGACCTGTTTGAAGATCTTGCGTTCAGGCAGCCTCCTTTTTCCTTATGCTAAGAGGGGACGCATAGACCAAGGGTCTTCCAACTTGGCAAGTTTAAGGCTCCCAGAATCCCTGAGCTAACATGACTGGAGGAGGAATTCTGGGAGTTGAAGTCTACAAGTCTTAAAGCTGTCAAGTTTGGAGACCCCTGGCATAGATACGATCCTCTGGGGTTTTTTTTTTTAGAAAGGGGCTGGAAAGTGGCCACAATAATTGCTTGGGATTGATGCATCTCCTGGAAGAGGTGAAACTCACCTCATTCCCTGCCTTGTCGAACCAAAATCCTCCAAGAGCGATTTGCAGAAGGGAAAGAGGTCAGTTACCCCACCTTCCCTCCATTCATCGGTTGAGGGGACAAAAATGGCTAACATAAAATGAACAGAAAAGAGATTAATACTGAAATTAGCAGCGATGACCCTGGTAAGAAAAACGTCTCTGGGCAAAGTGCCAATCCCCAAGCAGGACGTTTCTTGGCCGGGTCAGAGCAGGCGATGATGCCCTTCCTGTATGCCAAGCAAAAGGCAGTTTGGAAAGGTCTCCATGGCGGCTCTTCCCGCCAGGCAGGTTTCCACTGCAGGGCAGTGAAAAGCGTAGGGGCTTCGCAGGTGAGACCCTCCCCTTTGAAAGAGGGGGCCTTGCAGGAGCCAGGCTGGCTGCCCTTTAATCACAACTTCTGGGGGGGGGGGTTGTTGCTCCTGCATAAAGCAATTTGGCCCAGTAATGAAGACAGGGAGAAGTGCCATGAAAGATTCTGCCCGTGACTGGGAAAGGCTCCCCCGGGGCAATTCTGAGGAGGCGGCACATCCCTTGCAGGGCCAGGCAGCCCCATGTCCATAATGGGCATTGTGTAAGCCTAAAGCTGGACACATTTCCCCTTGCGCTTCTGGGCTGCGCCGATGTACAGGTGCCACTCCTGCAAGAGAAGCCATCCTGTCGGCTTCGTGGCCGTTAGCAGCACCCAGGCCGGTGGCTCCCCCAGGGGCGTCTTTCTTTCGGCCAGTTCTCGGAGCCTTTGCTTCACTTTCAGCACGTGGGAGTGAGAAGCTTCCCCTTCGCTCCCCTCGCAGCCCTTTCCAAGGCCAAGCAAGTCTTGCTCAAGAGCCGGGGTGCTATTCGATCCCTTTCCCCACCTCTGCTTCTTGCTTCAGGTTGGAGAAGTCCAGTCAAGTTCGCACCGTTTCCAGCAGCAACTTATTTTTCAAAGGGAGCCGGTTCCGATACAGGTAAATGATGACTGGAAGCGTCTGTGGCTGGATCTGTTTTGACGCATACCTGGATGCGTGAATTCTGAGAATTGATTAAGGGAGGCGATCGTAGAGTTGAGCTGGGCCTGTTCAGCCCTGGCCTTTCTGAGGTGCCCCTTCCCAACGCCAGAGCCGCCGCCACTTGGCTCTTCCAGAATAAGCAAGGCTGGCCAGGCACTCTTGCCAAGCTGGGCACCCAGTCAAAACCTTTCCAGGTACCCAATCTGGTAACTACCAGGAATTAAACGCTTTAGCCTTGAGCGATGCTGCAGATCCAGTCTGCTCGTGATGGAGAAGCACTGCCAGGCTCCTGGCTTTCAGGATGGGGGGGGGGGGGGGGGGGGGGGAGTTTGCCAGCAGAATCTCGGGCTGGGCAACCGCCACGCTTGTCACCTGCTCTGCTCTCCAACCTCTTTCAGCGGCCGAGTTGCCAAAGAAGTGATGGAGTCCAGTGCCAAAATTAAGAGGGAGCCTCCAGAAATACACAGGTAAGGCAGCTATGGGGGAGCGAAAGGGTCCAAGGGCCGCCCTGAGCAGGAAGGACAAAGACAGGGGTGGTGGGAGTCGGAGCATGCTGGACCTTCTTCCCTGGTGGTGGGAAGAGAATGCTGCCTCCTCCCTCCCTTCCTTTCGCAGGGCTGGACTGGTTCCCAGCCGCAGCTGCCCCTCCATCCCCCACGGACCCCGGCTCAGCAGCGTTCCCAGGACCCGGAGGAGGGCTGTCCACATCTCCATCATGGAAGGTGAGTTGGCTGCTCCTACTGGTCATAATCCTCATTTAGCAACCACTTATTTAGGTCATTAACCATACAAACTTGGTCATTCATCGCTTGAGAGAAACAATCGCTAACCATTGAAACCATGACTGGTATTTACAATCTTTCTTCAGCTTTCCTTTGCTTTGCAGGATTGGCCATAAAGTTACTTTTTTATAACTTGTTTTTGCATATGGTTGCTAAACAAGGACTGCGGAACAATAGGAGCCACACTACTTTTGGTTCACTGGAGTTCATTTTGTTAGATTGCTCAGGTGTCTTTGTTGTAGATTTTAATCAGTTCTGGAACTAGGTATTGAAAAAAGTGCTCAGGCCAGGCGGCTTCAGTTTCACAGTACAAAATTGCAACGACCAAAGACTCTGCATGAGCTTCATCCTTCCTTTGCTGGTTGGAAGAGGGAAGCGTATCCCGAGGAAGGAGACAGTCCATGCAAAGCAATTCATGGATTGTTGTTTCAGTAGTTTTATAAGAAGGCTCAGCATTTGCCAAAATTGGGGCAGCCAAGGGTCTTTTCATGCATTTGCTGAATATTTTGCCAGCTACCAGAAGAAACGAACCTGTTCATAAACGTTTAGAGACAGACCGATGGCAACGTGTCACTCACAGAGGGAAACCATAACCAAGGACAGCCCAATCCAGCCCCGTGGTGCTGGGGCTGAGCAACCAATTTCATATCCTGCCCCGGGAAAAAGCATGAAGGCAGCTGGAAGACATCACCACATTTTCCAGCGACAACGAGAAAAGTAGCTCAGACTTCACACACACATACAAGCTTATGTTGATGATAGAAGATTCACTTCTCAGAGGAATGGAATCCAGCAATTGGTAGACCGACAATCCATCTAGGGAAGTATCTTGTCTCCTAGGAGCGAAATCAAAGATGGGACTTGAGCGCCTTAAAAAACCATCAAGCCCAGAGACTGTTATCCCTTTCTCCTCTTCCCTGTGGAGACAAGTGGCCTGGCGGGGGAGGGGTTGGCCAATGGGAAAGAACGTGGTTGGGAAACCCCTGGCTCAGCTTATCCAAAGGGCTTTAAACTAAGCTGAGGGGGGAGGGTGACCAATCTTTAGCTGCTGATCCCAAGCATCAGCCAGAAGACAATCGATCAAAGAAAGAGGTAAGGAGTGATGGGAAGGAAGGAGAACTCAGATATAAAACAGGAGATGTAGGAAGCAAGACCAGGCTCAACTATAAAGGACTCAGATGCCTATAGGCTCAATGTTTGGGGAACAAACAGGGTAAACTTGAAGTACTAGTACATGGGGGCAGGTATGATATAGTTGCCATGACCTGGTGGTAATGGCAACATTACTTGGTGGGATGAAACTCATGACTTTAATGCACTTATGGAAGGATATAAACTGTTCAAAAGAAACAGAGCTAACAAAAGATGATGTGGAGTTGCATTATAAATAAGAAATCACTATATCTCTACAGAGGTACATTGAAACCAAGGATGAAAGCATCCTTGAATGCATATGGGTCAATATAAAAGGAACAAAGAATGACATGGCCATAGGTTTATGATGTGAATTGCATTGTATGTATACTATGTATATACGTACAATGACAATAAAGAATTCGATCAATTCAATCAATCAAGGTGTATATTTTAGGCCACTCAGCCAAGCAGAAGAAATAGGTGCACTTTTTGCTAATCAGTTAATTAATATATGCAAGAAACACACCACTGTAGGAGTAACTGGGACTCTTAACTACCCTGACATCAACTGGAAGAGAAAGTCTGTATTCGTTAGAAGAAATTGGTTCCTGACAAGCCTAGCTGACAACTTTGTCATCCAAAAAGTACTGTCTATTTTATATGCACACATTTAGTTTTTCTTGCCTAAAAGACCTTCTTTTCTCACTACCGGATTGCACTTTGTTGGCTAGGGCTTGGCCGAGGTTCCAGACTTGGCCTTCAGTGGCAAAAGGAGTTAGCTGAAAATGGCACTTCGACCGATTTAAAGAGAGTGAAGCAGGGACAACTGCCCTGCCCTACAAATTTTGGGAGGAAGGAGCTGTTGGCCTTTGAATTCCAAAACCCTCCTGGTTCAATGCTTTGCCACAAAATCCACAGCATCTCTAGTACCTCCTGTTGACCAATCCAAGCCATCAATGCCTGTCCTTAATAAAACTTGCAGTACTGATGTTTTCCTACAGGGCCTCCTGCAAACAGAAAGTTGCAATGTTAAAAAAAGGAAAAGAAAAAAGGTTGGACGAAACCATTTGTGTGGCTCTGCCCTGAGACCCTCCTTTCTCTGTTCCTTCAGGCCTCGAGTGTTTGCGGGACAGCGCTCACTCCACCCCGGTCAGGTCGACCTCCCACAGCGACACCTTCTTGCTCCACTCGCGGAGCGGCAGAGCAGAGAGCAACGAGCGCGTGGCCATCATCTCAGACGAGGTCTACAGCCCATCGGACAGCGTGCTGCCCACTCCGGTGGCCGAAGAGAGCCTGGAACTGATGCTGCTGTCCCGGCCGGTTAACAGCACCCCTTGCAGCATAGAGGAAGAGGAGTCGGAAGCCGGCGCTCCAGCCGGGGAGGCGCAGGAGCTGGGAAGGGACCTCTGGGCCTTGTGCAGCAGTGGAGGAGCCCAAGCAGAACAGGTGAATAAGTTTGTTTTAAGTGTCCTCCGTCTGCTCCTTGTAACAGTCGGACTCCTCTTGGTTTTGCTCCTTCTCCTGATCATCCTTACGGAGTCTGACCTTGACGTTGCCTTTTTCCGTGATATTCGCCAGACCCCTGAGTTTGAACAATTCCATTATCAATACTTTTGTCCCCTCAGGCGATGGTTTGCCTGCAAAATCCGCTCCGTACTCAGCCTGCTCAATGATACCTGAAGGCAGTTGTCCTCCTAGTAACTAGCCGGGCGGACTGTGGAAGATCCCTGCTGCCCATTCCCAGAAAACGGGGCTCATCGTGGCGCCATCAGCACATAAACTAAGTCCTCCTCCTCCTTCTCCTCCTCTCATGTTTCGGCCCAGGAGGGCGTTTCCCCAGCTGAAGATAAGGACAGGCTCATGCCAGAGCAAACCCACCACGCAATCAATTCCTTTGCAGGTCCACTTGGGGGAAGCTCCCTCAGAGTTCTTGCTTTCCGACATTCAAATTACTCTGCACTCTTCAAATTTAGTTTTGCTTTCGTAGAGATGTTAACTGCAGAAACTTCAAATAGAAAGAGCTTATTTTATTATTACTAGCGTTGGACTAAATGCCAGCCTTCAGCCGGGACACCAGTTCATGAAGACCACTTACTTCATGCAGGAGCTTTTGTAATGGTGCTACTGAGTTGTAAGTTTAATAATATAGTATTATTTTATTAAAACTGTCACTGTGCATAGCACTACCATCTTGGACATGGACATTGAAACCAGGGCAGTTTTATTTTCTTTCCAATCGCCAGGCTTCATGTGGGGGGGGGGGATTGGACCAATGCCAATATTGTGAGGTCATTTAGCATTATTAATTCTTTTCAAGCAATAGATGGTTACGAGAGGAAGTCAACAGGCATAAATTTATTTCTTCCCTTAGCAGGGAGTGCAACGGCCATTCAATACCTGTCTTTGGTGAATTTCGACCCTTGGCCTTTACAATCCCACGGAGACCTTTTCTTAGGATAGTTGGGTGCCAAAGGAAGCAGGAGTTGGAGTAAGTAGGGAAGAGTCGATCTGTGTACCTGATGGTGGTTTTTGAAATCTTGCCGTCGTGTAGTGCAATCGTCAGGTCTGGCTTCTTTGAATGAGATTCTGCCACAGTAGATGTTTTGTATTATGAAAGAACTTATTTCAACCTATATTTTAAGAAAAAAATATATATTTTGTTAATGAACCAAACCTTTTTTTACTTTATAAATTGGATAAACGTAGTGTCAGGTATCAAGTGACGGAGATACTCTCAAGGTTACAAATGTTTTAGAGCAATGTGTTAACACTGCATCAACCATCCACCGTTTCTAAAAAAAAAAAAAGTGGGGTGTTTTGTGCTGTTTAAAATGAAAACGAGGAGAAATGACACCCGCAGAGAGAAGAAAAACAATCAAACCAACGTTGTCTCCAAAGCAAAGGGAATCCAGATTTTTGTCGTATTTCGTGTTGTGATTCAGAGAACATTCCCTAAAAGCAGCTCATTTGTACAGGGAGCAATAAAACTCGGGAAGAGAGCGAGCGCACGCGACCTGAGGGGCAAGGGGTCTATTTCATCTCAGGGAGAGCTTTCAAGTCATTCGAGGATCGAATCAGAACTATTCCAAGAGGCCGGTTTCATGACCTGGACTCTGCCCGGGCAGCCCTAGGGACGCACACAGGAACCGAAGCACTGCCAGGACCAATGGGAAGGAGGCTGTGGAGGTGGGGCTTTGCGCAACGACTTTCCCTCCACAGCTGGTCATTCGCCATTCAAACAAGAGCACAATTAACAGCATTAGCAATACGTGGGAATGGGCACGACTTAAGACGGGGCGCATGCACATTGGAAGATCCTGGTCAATGCAGCGGCTCACCTAAGTCAGCCGTTAAATAGCACGGACGGCCCTCTCAGGAGCCAGAAGCAAATGTGGCTTTCGCAAGAGGAACGGATGCGTTACACTCTGTATCGTCTACGAGATGATGGAGGGGGGCCTATCCAAGGATTTATAACATTTTATGCAACAAAGCAACAAAAACTTCTAGTGTGGTGTTCCTACCTCAGTCTGTAGTAAATGATGCTTCTATGCAGCGAGGGAAAAGTTTTCATGTCGTATATTCTCCATTCCAGAGAAAGATGCAAACGTTCACATGTTAATTGTTGGTGGTGTTTCTCATGCCTCAAACCTGTCCAATTCTACCTGTAACTATTCCATGCAATACATTTTTTAAATAGACAAGATGCAAACTTGGATGGGGGGGGGGGGCAAGTCATTCTTGGGGAGCTGTTGACCCTAAACAATCCTGGGCCCAATCAGGAACACTTTTCTCCTGTGCACTTCAGAAGGCATCGGGGGGGGGGGGGGGACTGAGCTGTTTCGGCCAATCCAACCCTTCGGCCTCCCGTTTCGTGGTTCACGGCTCATTTGTTCCAAATCACAACTTGTGTATGACTTGGGGGGGTTTCCACAGGTTGCTGTATCAGAGGAAAGAGACTCTGAATTGAGGACTAGCGTGTTACATGCTGAAGCAGGAAAAGGTCCATTACCTGAAAATGTGAATTTTCATTTTCATAATATAGTTGTTGTTAATTCATGTGCCAAATACTATATGTCACATTTTTCCTTCAAAGATGTAAATTTTTCTACATATTCAGCCTGTAGTTAGTGCAAAACCATTGATTCCATATAAAAGTATTTTCAAATTTAAATAAATACTTAATTATGATGAAAAGCAATTCCTTTTGAGCAATTTAATTGGGAAACAATTGGGTACAATGATTACTAAAACATTTAAGTATGTTTAAAGGGGCATTATTATAAGAGAAGCGTGAATCACTAACACGGGTTATATGATTGCTTATACGTTAAAAATGTTTGGGAACACGGGGGCCATTTCCCCCACTGATTTGTAAGTCATTTTTCTGATCAAAGCATTCAATTTCCAACCAATACTAGGAATAAACAATATAAACACGCCGTTTGAATTACAAATATCAAAATATGCTTTTTATTCCTTTTTGAACATACATTTAAATTTCTCATCACAAAAGTTATCAGCAATTTAGCTTCTAAATGAGGTTTTATCTATTGCAGAGTTTGACATAGATTTATAAGCCTCTGTGATTAAATCGGCATCAAGAGTTTCTCACAACTTGTTCAAAAAAATTACAGTCCCGCCATGACAAACCTAAGTCCTCATTTCCAACTTAATCGCAATGGAGGATCTCTTCAGATGTGTGACGCAGCGTATTTATTGGTCTGTAGCCGCCTTGGCCCAGAAGCAAAATAAGGTGCAACTGAACTAAACACTAAACTCTGGTTTGTTTTCAGCACACTCACCACTCTTTAAAGACATGCAGGCGGCCACTGGAATTCCCACCCGCAACCAGGAACCTGGTGGGGTGCCAGGAATTGATGGAACAAACGGAGTTAAGACAATCCTCATTCAGAAAGCAGTGGAGCAGCTCGCCGCTGGCGTGAAAGGCCTGGATCTGCCTCGGCCGTGTCATGCTCCCCACTACAAAGCAGTCGTCCCTCTTGGGGTCCCAAACCGCCTGGAACCTGGTCAGCCATCGACCGGTGTTGTTGTTGTGCCTGTTCAGAAAAGGGGGGAGGGGAAGAGACGAGGAGGGTTGGCTCACTTGCCCTTTCCATTCCCGAATGACCCTCGGGGGCTGAGGCCTGTTCACTGTGGAAAAGGGGGCTCCTTGAGGCAATTTCAGGCTCCCTTAACCATCGTGTTACTAGCTGTCAGGGCTGCCTCTGGATGACACCAACTTAACAGCTGCAGGGATTCACTGAACAGCCGTGGGAAGAAAGGCCGTAAAGTGGGCGAAACTCCTTGAACAGCCGTCTGGCTCAGCAGTGGAAGGTTTTGGTCCTAAGACCACCCGTATCAAGTCCATCTCCTCGCCTTAACTCACCGAATCGTTGCGAGGACAGGAGCTGAAGCTGATAAACAGTGAGTCCCAAAGATCCTGTAAGGCAAAAATGAGGGTTTAGCCAAACAAATCCCAGCCTTTGGGTTAGGTTTTAAGGGAGTAGGGACCCAAACCCTAAGATCACAAACTGCTGTCTTACATGCCCCCCCCCCTTATCATTTTTATGCTATGATAAACATTCTTACTTAGATCTTATGATACAGACCTTGTTATTTTTCTGGGGTGTGTGTGTGTGTGTGTGTGTGTGTGTGTGTTTGTAGTGAACAGCATATCACAGAAGTGTGTACACCCCCTCACATTTTGTAAATATTTAAGCATATCTTTTTATGTGACAACACTGAAGAAATGACACTTGGCTACAAGGTAAAGTAGTGAGCATACAGCTTGTATAACAGTGCACATGTGCTATCGCCTCAAAACAACACAACACACAGCCATTAATGTCTAAACCCCTCGCGACAAAAGTGAATACACCCGTAAGTGGTCATGTCCAAATAGCCGGTTTCCCTCCCTGGGGTCATGTGATTTGTTAGCGTTACAAAGTCTCAGGTGTGAGGGGGGAGCAGGTGTCTTAAATTTGGTGTTATCGTTCTCACTCTCTCATCCTGGTCGCTGGAAGTTCAACATGGCACCTCATGAGCTCTCTGAGGGTCTGAAAAAGGGAATTGTTGCTCTACATAAGGGGGGGGCCCTCGGCCAGTAATGGGCCAAAGGTGCTTTCGATGGAGCCGATTCCCCCCCCCCCCCCCCCCCCCCGGGAAACCCCCCCCCCCCCCCCTGCCCCCCCTTTCCCCCCCTGCAACGGGGGGGGGGGGGCAGCTGTTCCCCCATTCTTCCCACTTTTACCTACCCAGCTTTACTCCTCGTCCAAACAAAAAGGCCTTAAACTCCCCAAACCTTTCAGAGAACACGAAGGGAGAACAAGGAGCGGATTCCAGGGCTGGGGACCAAGTCCCTGGCAGGGGAATGGGCACAGACCCTGGATGAGGAGGGGGAGATCGGGGCAGTGGACCTTTGTGGGGGGGATGTACACAAACCCCGGCAGCTCAAACTGACCTCTGGCTGGGACAAGTGAGCAGCAATCGAGGCCTGCACTGCCTGCGGATGGAAAAGCTCCCAGAAGGGCCAGATCAGCCCAGGCAGCTTTGCCCTGGATGGAATCGGGAGTGAAGGGAGGACCTGAGAACTGCTGCGTATGAAGTCAGGCATGAAACCCCCAGGAAAGGCAGGCAATTGGAGGGCCATCTCCCTGCCAGAACCTCCCGATCCAGTGAACAGCCAAACAGCACGAATGAGCAAGAACTAAAACAGATCCAATAGAGGAATGCAAGGCTGTGAGCAGAAGAAACTCGGGGCATCTGGGACCCCTGGAGGCAAACAGGGAAAAAGGAACGTGGGGGGAGGAGGACCACCAAGGGCCTTCTCCTCTCTGGAGCTCTTTCTGCCCCCCCCCCCATTATTATTTTGAGTTAAATCCCCAAAAGAGTGTGGGAAAAGGGGCAGGCACAGCAGCCAAAGAGGGGCATGCCAAGAGGATGGCAACAAAGGAACCCCACTGACCTGGCGCAAGAGGCAGCCCCCCCCCCGATACCACAGGGGCCGGGCAGCATTGGGAAACGCCACATTGGATCTCTGCATGTTTGCGGAAGCTGCTCTGGACCCCCCTGGGATGAAGCAAGTGGAACCCTGAAGGCATGAATGTGACAGGCCAGGATCCAGCCAAGGGTCTCTCATCCCCACAGGAAGCGTATAAGCAGCAGAGACGTACAAGGTGCCTGGGGAGAAAATCTGGGGTTGGATGAGTGCAGAGAAAGGAGGAGCGGGGAAGGTACTGGGACACTGGAGAGCATCTAAACCTGAAAAACGGCGGTCACTTGGCAGCGCAGAGCTGACCAGCTCGGGTGAACGGTGGGAAGCGAGGAGGGCAAGGCTGGAGTCTAGTTCTGGGATGGCGCACCCGAAGCCCTGGTGGGCGACACGTGAGGGGCTGCTGGAGAAGGGGGGCCGTCCCACGGGGGGCCAGCTTTTACTTCCAACGCAGGGGAGTTTTGCCACCTGGTCCCTGGGTGCTCCAATTCCCACCGAGGCTGACAAAGACGGCCCACCCAAAGGGCAAGGGGGACCTAGCCGGGCATTATTATGCCTTGGGGTATCAGGCATGGCCTGGGGTCTCGTGGTGTGGCCCCGGCTGGGTCTAGTTTCCCCCCCCCCAAGTGGACGAAACCGGGTTTGGACATTAGGGTGGTGGCCACCTGTCCCTTGCCATGCTCCGATCCCCTTCTAGCCAGAAAGCAGGTCACCCTTCGTCTCTATGTAGCCAAGGATCCCCTTAAGACGGTCCACCCCACGGCCGGAGATTTCTGAGCATCTGGACATTCCCTGGTGGAATCCGGTCTCCATCCTGATTGATGTCAACGTATTTTCTAAGCTGTCAATCCCTGCTGGCTCCAGGCTTCTTGGAGCAGCTGATGAGAGCAAATCAACCC